ATTGCCTTACAGTTCATCTTGAAGTTCGTAAGGTGAGCATCCGGGTCCTCGTTTGGTCTCCCACGGAAACTCATGTTGTTGAGCATTTGGATGCATTGCGGTAGGAGTTCAATTTCTTCTAGTGATCCTCGATTTATGCATGATAGTAGCTGGGTGTGCTTCGGTTGTGTCTACGTTCGAAGCGTTCTAGGGGCTGCTTGGGCTGGACCTCTTTGGGCATTGGCCCCTCTCAACAGCTCTTCGGCCGTCTCGGGTTGTTCTCTTCGTGCGTTGTTTTCTCTCAGCATTTCTTCGGCCATTCCCCACTGTTTTTCTGTCTCCGAGCGAAGCGTAGAGTCCTTTCTATTTCGGGGTCGAAGACGAGTTGATCTCTACCGGTTGTGCTTATTGACATGCACCGGAAGAGTTGTACACCAAAGAGACAAAACGAACCGAAAGTGCTGTGAAACGGTTATGTCGCAAAGTAATCCAAGCAAGAATCCAAGCGATGGTGATCTAGCAAAAATCTAGACTAACACGAAAACGCATAGTCTCCGGTAACGACGCCAAAAACTTGATGCGCACGCACCGAATCTTATATTTAATACCCGATTCTGACCACTATCCGTAAGTATACGGTAGTTGTAGTACCGGGTCGAACACGAGGACTAGGATGTATTAGTCTATCTCTAAGCTAGATTAGGTGGTCAAGTAAAAATGTGGTTTGTGATAAGTGTCGGAATACAAGAAAGCAAGTAAAATTAACGGTTTGTAAAACGATGGTTTGAGGCGTTGTAGGTTCGGGATCCCTCATGAGTCGCATGGATGGTTAGTGATGCTACAATGTCTTAGTGTTTATCTCCAATTGGGGGTTTCAAACACTTCTTCTAGAGTTTGTCTCTCCCGAGCTTAAACTCACTACCTAGAGAATCGATTTACCCATCTCCCAATGATCTAAATGATCTCTAGATGCATTAATGTACGCTATCATGAACCCTAAGCAAGCTAAGCCATTTTCCAATGTGAATAACTCACTCATTTGACATTTGGTTCTAAACATCATTCCCATATCCCTATGATCAATGTGTTCTATGGTCATATCAATTAGGGTTTCGCCCAAATCAATAGCATTACACACAAAACATCGAACCAATAGAAGAAAACTCAAAGACATCATAGATTAAGCTTAGGTATCCATACAAAAGTGGGGATCCCTCACCCACAACAAAATCACTATTCCATAACTAGGATTTCAAAACAGAAAGCAAAATGAAGAAACATGGAAAAAGAGAAGAAATGCTCAAGATGGTCTTCAATGGTGGTCTTCTTCTTCTTCTAGCCTCCTTGATCTCCAAAATCCCCCTTTCCTCTTCTCCAAAGTGGTTTTTCTCCCAAAGTGTGTAGCCCCCTTCTCTCTCCTCAAACTCCCTTTTTTATGAAAGTCCAGAATTATGTTTTCTCCTCAAAACACGAGTTTTTCCTTTTTGGGTCGATTTTGATTTCAGGCGGTCGCTCATTTTTCGGGCGGGTCGCTCATTTTTCTCTGCACATGCAAAAAGCAAGCGACCACTCATAAAATGAACGACCGCTCAAAAAACGAGCGACCACCCATAAAATGGGCGGGTCGCTCATTTTTTCTCAGCTTTCCGAGCCTTCTCGAATTCTTGTTCTTCCGTGCCCGCTTCGTGAGGATTCATCGTGGAGTCTTCCTGTAATCAAAAACAAGCAAAGCAACCTACCCATGGCCATCAAACATCCTATAATGTCTAGAATGAGAGAAGAATTATGATGCATGAGGTTATAAAACCGGTGAAAAACCCGTGTGATCAATGAGTTGATCAAAACTCACAAGAGGAGGAGCCAAACGTCGAAACAAAATGGTTTTTCGACATGTTGCATATGGCAAATCGTCCTATCTATGAAGGATGTAAAGAAGGTCAGTCTCGTTTATCTCTCGCATCGAGATTGATGAGTATGAAAACGGATTACAATGTTGAAAGTTGCATGGATTCATTTTGTCAAACATTGCGTGAGTATTTACCTGAAAATAATGAAGCCCCAGAATCGTATTATGATACGAAGGCTATGTTGAAGAATTTGGGAATGCCTTATGAAAAGATCGATATTTGCAAAAATGGTTGCATGCTCTATTAGGGTGAAGAAAAAGAATTGGTTAAGTGTAAATTCTGTGGGGCTAATAGAAACCGTCCGAGTAAGAATGTACGGAGATAAACTCTGTATAAAAAGATGTTGCCGGTATCGTACTGATTGAAGCGTTTGTATAAATCACAACAAACAGCTTCGCATATGAGATGTCATGCCTCGCATTCTGCCGTTGATGGAGAAATGCAACATTCATCGGATGCTTTGGCGTGGAAAAACTTCAATATGGTATTTCCTCAATTTGCTGCTGAGCCTAGAAATGTGTATCTTTGTTTGTGCACTGATGGATTTAGTCCGTACGGACAGTCTGACATGCAGTATTCGTTATGGCCCGTTATACTTTCTCCGTACAACTTACCACCTGAGATGTGTCTGAAAAGAAAATTTTATGTTTATGAAATTGTTGATTCCTGGCCCAGAATATCCGAAGAAGAGTTTTGATGTGTATTTATAGCCTCTCATTGGAGTCCTTGCTTACAATGTAAGTGTAAAACAAAATTTTACAATTAGAGCTGTTCTTCTTTGGACGATCAATGATTTTTCGGCATATGAAATGTTATCGGGATGGAGCACACATGGAAGACTTTCATGTTCGTTTTGCATAGAGGAAACCAAAGCGTTTCAGTTGAAACATGGGAGAAAGTCGTGCTGGTTTGACTGTCATCGCAGATTTCTTCCAAGGAATCATCCATTCAGACAAAACCGTACACTTTTTACCAAAGGTAAAATCGTTATAGAAGAAGGACCTGTTATGCAAATCGGAGAGCAAATTTATTCTGAGCGAATAAATAGTGGATATTTGGATGATTTGCAAGCTTCTGTACAATGTAGAGATAATTTTAGGCACAAGAAGTGCAAATGATTTGGTGATTGGCATAACTGGTAAGCGTAGTATTTTTTGGGATTTGTCTTACTGGCGTTCGCTAACGTTTTGACACAATCTGGATGTGATGCATATAGAGAAAATCTTTTTTGATAACATCATCAACATCGTTTTGAATGTAACAGTGAGAAGTAAGGACAATATCAACTCGAGGAAGGACTTGAAAGATATATGCAAGAGATAAGAGTTAGAGTTAACACGTGATGGTCATGCACCAGTTCCGATATTCAGACTCACAAGACCAGGTAAAACGGTCTTGTTTAAATGGTTAAAAGAAGAGATTAAATTCCCTGATGGATACGCATCCAGATTGGCGCGATGCGTTGATATTGATTGATTAAAGCTTATGGGAATGAAGAGTCATGATTGCCATGTATTCATGCAAAGACTCATTCCCATTGCATTTGCGGAGCTATTGAAACCCAGTGTCTACGGAGAGTTATGCGGTATTAGCACATTCCTGTGCAAGATCTCTAAGAAGAAGTAACCTAGAGGTTTTCAAATGCAATATCTCTGAGATACTTTGCGCCTTAGAAAAGGTATTTCCACCTTCATTTTTTGATGTGATGGAACATTTATCTATTCATTTACCAGATGAGGCGGTATACGGAGGTCTAGTACAGTTTAGATGGATGTATCCATTTGAGCGATATTTTTTCCATCTGAAGAAGAAGGCAAAAAACAAAGTAGTAGTGGAAGGATCTATTGTCAAACAGTATTTGTTAGAGGAGATCTCCTATTTCAGTTCTTTCTACTTTGAATCTCATATCCAGATGAAAAAAAGGAGGTCTATTAACGAAGACAATGGAAGTTATATCTACCAATATGATTCTTGTTTCGGACTTATTCCCGAAAGTTTTCAACCTACTGGACGACTCGGCGGCAAGTCTGAAGAATATTGGTTAACTGTACAAGAGTACAATCACATCGCCACATATATATTGTTGAACTGTGATGAACTTAAGCCATACGAAATATACACAATATACAAATGACTTAAATTTTCATTCTTAATGAATTAATTATACATATATATATATTTTCACTAATAAAATATTTTTAAGACTTTTTGACGAGGAAGTCTTGGCAACATATCATAATCTAAGTGGAGAGGAACTTGAAGGAATGAAGGAACAACACTACGCATCTTGGCTTCGAGACTATGTAAGTACTATATATATATATACGTGTGTGTTTTTATTGTTCATCATGTATTTATATATATATGTAAATAATTAATTTAATATCCATATCGATTTTATGCGCAGATCTGGTCATGCAGTGATAGAATTCTGACATGGATCAGAGATTTATCACATGGACTTGGGAGAAAAGTCATTTGCTGGTCGATAATGTTCATACGAGGATACACGTTTCACACTTACGATCATGGAAAACATAAATCCACGTTCAACTATGGAGTTTATATTAAAAGCGGGTCATCTGAAGATCCTGATTTCTTTGGAGTTCTTCGTCAGATTTTCCAACTCCAATATCCAGGATTAGTCGGGTTGAAAACAATAATATTCAGATGTGATTGGTTTGATACAACGTCGGGACGCGGCTCACGGAAAAATCGATGGAAAGGTGTTGACATAAATCTGAGATGCTCATATGCAAAGTATGATCCTTTTATCCTTTCTGATCAGGCAGACCAAGTATGTTTCATTCCATATCCGAAACATTCCGCGACATCGGTGAAACGACGACGGGAAGATCAATGGTCGGCTATTTTGAAGATTAACCCACGAAGATTAATCGTGGATTCGTCAACACAAGATTTCGATAACCTATGCAAGAGCAACTCGAAGATCCGGTTCTTCCTATCCAACTAGATGATTACGACGATACACTTGCACTTCCCGACATAGACGACGAGTTACTTGATGATTCGTCAAATGTACAAGACGATATCGACGAATTTGTATTAGACCATGATACGACTCCAGATGATGAAAGTGATGAAGATTCTATGTAGACTTGTTTCTTTTTATTATTTTCATATTTATATTAGTATTTTGAAGAATTTTATTTTTTAAAAAAAAATTGTAAAATTTCAACGGATGTCCATTGGAATTATCCAACATACATCCGTTGATACTTCGTTCCACGTCGCGAAGATCAAAGGATCGCCAGTATTCCAATGGACATCCGTTGAAAAATTTCAACGGATATCCGTTGAAATACATTTCGAAACGGTCAGCCGTTGGAGTTTCTGAAACATTAAATCTGTTCCACACACCTGGCGTCTAGCCAGACAATTCAGACATTTTCCAACGGATGCCCGTTAGAATTACTATTTCCAACGGGTGTCCGTTGGAAATTGTCTGAAAAAATTAAATCCGTGAACAGATTTCCAACGGATATCCGTTGGAAATCCATTGGAAATTTCGATTATATAAACTCAGGTCCATTCTTCCCCATTCACTCATCCCAAGTGAAAAAAAAAACGAGAGGAAAAAAATCAGAAAAAAATTGAAAAAAAAATAAGAAAAAAGATTGTAATATACTAATTATATTTAAATTAATATTTGTTTATGTTTATTATATTACTAACTATTGTTTTTTTTTTCAGTTTCGTAGGCGTTTTTCATTTAGCGGTGGATTATTGGCGGGTTCTTCTGGAGGGCCACCGCCGCCACCACCTTCTCGTCTTCCGAATCTGCCGGATGCACCGGTCCCGCTCATTGACTCCGAACTTGACGGGCCATTATGATAATTTTTTAATTAAATTAATTAAATTATTATTCTAATTATATAATTAATCATTGTTAATAAAAAATGTAATTATTAGGTTTGGGTTAACGATAAAGAGTTGAGGAATAAATTTACGTCAATAATAATGTCTAATTTTCATCAACTCTACTAATATTGGACGGTGGTATCCGACTATCTGAAACGTGCTTGGTGACACTCGTTCATCGTAAGTTTTTTTTTTAAAATTTAATTAAATATAAAAAATTATTAATTAAATATAAAAAATTATTAATTAAATATAAAAAATTATTAATAACTCTGGTTTTTTTATAAAGCAATCTTTTCGGTGGAAAAAAATACACGATAAAGTTTATAAAGAGTTCAACCAGCTCGGCATGAAGCTGTTGAAACAACTGATGAACAACGCCAAACGTCGCCATCAGCTGCATGGACTGGCACCAGATTGGGCAACAAATGATTTGTACTAACAGGTTGTTTTGCATTGGAATTCGGAACATTTCAAGAATAAAAGTCCGTTTGGTTTTGAACGTGAAAAGTGATCTCAGCTTCTGCACTGGCTTGACATCCTTCTACAATTTATCCTTCTCAATTGCAGGCCGAGTTAGTGAGACAGATCTTTGACTGACACCCAGACCTTGCCATGGATTTTCGTCTGAAAACCAGACAGCTGAGGTCAGCATACATGGATGCCCTCCTCGGCCTTGTCAAGAGAGTGTGCTTACCGCTACAGAAGCTGACAGAAGACGACATAATCGACGTAGAAGACAAACTGACTGATCTGACGGATGCAGGGTTTAAGATGGATTGGTTGAAGAAGAAGGTAGAGGAGGTTAACGTGGAGAAGATGAAAAAGTAGAGGAGTGTGAGGCCATGATCCTGGAAGTGGAGGAAGAGTCGCAGAAACTGAAACAGAGGCTGTCGGAAGTGGAAGCTGAGTTGCTAAAGGAGAAAACAGAGGTTTTTTGCTGCTTTGAAGCTCGAAGACATTGCTTGATGTCACAATGTACAGGAGGACCAGAGTTCGTCTTCTTTTGTAGTTGATTTTCTTGGTCTTGTCTCAACCCTCTTTTAATTTCTTAAATCAATCTACTTTTTGTTAATTATTATAGAACACAAACGCTAACATAATCTTTTCTAGTTGCTTGTTCGACCCACGATCTCACCATTCAAATAGAAGAGATAACGTGTGATATATAGCGGTTTGGAAACTAGTAGCGGTATAACCGATCATAACGAATTTTGTTTTCATATAAGAATACTTCTTTATTCTTTCTTAAGTACTTGAAAACATTTCTGATTGCGGCTTATTAAAACCTGACGTGTATCTATTAATCATGTTTCGTGAGTCTGGTTTTTTATAGAATATAAGACTGTATTTATTACTAGATAAAACTATAAACTTATCCTAAATGGGAAAGGTTCGTAATTTTGTTACATTCTTTTTAAAAATGATATACTAGATGTTTCTATTTTTAACTATGGAAAATTCTGAATTGTAAAAAAAAAAAATCTAAAACTACTTTTATTTTGAAACATTGAATATCATAGTTCTTTGTATATTTTCATGTTTTTGCTATGATTTTTGTTTCTTATCCTAGATTTTTTTTTTTTGTAAAAGGGGGTAAGATTCGGAATTGATAATTTAAAGGGATAATTCCATTTAAAACTCTGTACTTTTCTCTCATCGCAATTTAAACCCTATACTTTTTTTTGATCCAAAAAAACATTATACTTTTACAAATTGGCAATTAAAACTCTATACTTTTAAAAATTGACAAATAAAACCCTGAACGAAAAAATATATTATTTAATGCTGACATTGCATCATAGTCATCTACATCATCAATCCCTAATATTTAATAATATTAATTAATACAAAATAAAAATAAAATAATAATAATAATAAAAATAAAATTTTAAAAATTATACACATACATATATAATGAAATGATATACATATATACACATATATAAACATATTTATATATATACACACATATATAATATATATATATATATATATGTTTTATATACATATGTGGTATATGTATTTTTTTTCTAAAAATCATGCATATGTCACATATATATATGCATATATAACACATACATATAAAACATATAATAATTATACACATATATAGATATATATGTATCATATGTATATATATGTATATATGTATATATAAATATATTTATATATGTATATAATTTTAAAATTTTTATAAACATGTTTATATATGTGTATAATTTTTATGAATATATATAATTTTTAAATTTTCATTTTTATTTTTATTATTTTATTTTTATTTTTTATTAATTAATATTATTAAATATTAGAGATTGATGATGTGACAGATGACTAGGATGCCATGTCAGCATTAAATAATATTGTTTTTCGTTCAGGGTTTTATTTGCCAATTTTTAAAAGTATAGATTTTTAATTACCAATTTTTAAAAGTACAATGTTTTTTTGGATCAAAAAAAAGTATAGGGTTTAAATTGAGACGAGAGAAAAGTACAGGGTTTTAAATGAAATTATCCCTAATTTAAATATACACATATATACCTCTTATGAACATATTCGTTCTGATTATATATAGGAGTTTGGACTTCAAGAGACAACAAATCTTGAGACAAATTTATTCATCATATGGATCAAAAGATTCAAAAGCTTAAATTGGTTAGACATTAGAAAACTCCAACAATTTAAAATTAAACCCTTTTTGTTTTTGTTTGTCAATTTATTTATTTATTTATTTTTATAAAGTCAGCCATAACGACGCCGTTGTGGATCCACAAATCACCGCTGCAAAATCGAAGCGTCTTCTCCCCGTCTCCCTCGCCATTGCCGAATAGTTCCCCCCCCTCCTCCGCCATGACTTTCTTCTTCCGCTATCTCCTGAATAAGAGAAAGCTGGAAAATTCCCGACGACCCATTTTACTAAAACGACGAAGGATCACTGAAACAGCGGAGTTCAGATGGGGCGAGACTTCTCGAGCAGAACAGAACCCAGGGCAAGAGGACGACAAAACCAGCGAGGTGTCTGAACGTGTAGAGGAGGAAGAACAGGGAGACCCATGTCTTCTCTTCCAGCTTCCGACAAGCATTCTCGCCGATATACTCTCCAGGCCCCCTTTCAAGGTCGTGTGCATCTCTCTGATACCATGATATAATTTGGTTTATAAGAATGTGATTAAATGAAAATTATGATGAGGATTACATCTCATATATATACAATGCATAAAAGACATAATGACATAAAACATGGAAGAAAACATGAAGAGACATGGAGGAAAACATGGAGGAAAACATGGAGGAAATTAAGTATAAATAGTGGCATAATTTTAGGAAAATAATTGTAATAGATAATAATAATATATCAATATACTAACATGTCTAAGGTTCTGCTTTCTGTGACCTCTTCTCCTGATCTCATGTCGCTTCGTCTAGATAGATCCGATTTCGAGATATTCCTTCGACCGGATTCTCCCATGCGTGGCTCTAGGGATCTCCATTTCGTGGATTTGCATGGACTTTGTGATTCTGCTCCTCTTCGAGGAGGAACTACGGATGTTAGATTTAGGGTTTCTCTACCCAAGCGGCGATTAGATATGAAAACTCCGTTGGCAGCAGAACGGGACTATGATATAGCAAACTCATGCAATGGATTCATGTGTTTACGTAAAGCTACGATGTTTAGTTCTTGCAAGAATCCGTGTATTGTGTGGAACCCTTTTACAGGGGAGTTTACGTTCATCCCGAAACCAGAGAAGGAGAACACTATAAAAGCTTGGCCTATTGTTTCGGGATTGGGCTGTGGGGCGAGGAGCAATGTCTACAAAGTTGTCCGTTTGTTTCATGGAGTTTCTCCTTTGAGCCCATTTGACAGAGTGGCTGAAGTGTGCACTCTTGGCAGTGATTCTTGGAGAAGCATTGGACAAGCTCCATGGGACACGATCTACGAAGGGTCTACTTATACAGTGTATTTGAACGGCGTTATTCACTGGCTAAGTGAGCCAGATGGATCCGTTGCTAAATTCTCTTTGTTGTGTTTTGGTTTCGAGGAGGAGAAATTCAATCATCTGCCGTTGCCGCCCCAGCTACTTGAGAGGATGGGCGATGGTCCAGCAGAGTCTAAGGTGACATTGGGAGCCCTCAGAGGGTGTCTCTGCGTATCCGGGCTTGTTTTGCACCGCATCAAGGTTTGGATCTTGAGGGACCGCTCTGACGAAACGTCCTGGACACCACAGTTCTCGATTTATAACTTCATGGGGTCCTTTTTTCGGCCTCTAAAATGGCTAGAGAACGGGAGCTTGGTGATGTTATGGAGCAAGATGTCGCTTGTTTTCTACGACCGCATGGCCAGAACAGTTAGAGAGTTCCGGGTGAGAGGTGGTGGCTCTGTCGCATTCCAAGCCATTGCTCATGTCCCAAACATGGGTTCCCTCAGGGATATTGCAGGTGGACGGAATCTGGTGGTCCACAATGGGGAACCGATTAGGTAAGACATGGAAGACATGTTTCGTTCTTACAGAACCCTGTTTGGCAAAAGCTTTGTGTTATGAATGGAGTCCACATTCTTACTGCAGGTGGCGACCGGAAGATGCTGAAGCAATGTCTCTCGTGGAAGACAGAGATGTTGGAGTGAACTGGGTTTTCGATCTATGGGGTTAAAGAAGATGATGGCTGCTTGGGCAAGTTTTTGTGCATCGCTTTTTGGGACATCCAAGGGTTCTTTTTGGTAAATACGAATCTGTCTGTCTGCGTATTGCCGTAATCAGTGTTAACTCTACCTACTTTATTCAACAAAAAAAAAACTCTACCTACTTTTTTGTCATACCCGCATGTACGTACGCACGCATGCATGCATGTGCGTGTAAGGAACTTCTCTCAATTATGTCATTTCTGCCCCTCTACTTTTATGTCATACGCAATTACGCCCGATAGTTTAGTTTGTGCCTAACATCTCAATGGGATCTCCTCCGATGCCTCTGAACAGATTTATGTTTCTTGAGGCTAAACTCTCAAATCTCAATGGTTTGTGTTGTATCTCTTCAACTCAAAATCCATTGAATCTATCGAATTATTCTGTCATGTGTGTTGTTTAGATTATCAATCCTGAATCTTACCCTTTTTTTATTTTAAAAAACCCACATTCTATATATAGCGTCACCAACTCGAGAGAGAGAGAGAGAGAGAGAGAGAGAGAGAGAGAGAGAGAGAGAGAGAGAGAGAGAGAGAGACCCTTCCTTCCTCGGCTTTCGGCCATTTCCGATCTTCGATCCATATTCGTACCAGCTTGCGAAAGATTTGTTGGAGAGGCAGAAAAATAACAGGAAAAGTAGAAGACGCCTTTATTGCCAATTCTGAAAGTACCAAAAGCAGATGGACGTAATCTTCTTGCGGACAACAAAAAAGCAGAACACAGGAACAACCTCTGTCTCTTACAAACACAGAACAAGGCATTGACACCATAACTGAGAGGAACAGTTCTCAGTCCAAAATCTGAGCTTTCCGGTAGCTGTCAACAGAATCGACAAGAGTTTCATCCAGCGATCGGTAATTCCAACCCAGCTTCAGTAGTTTCTCAGAGCTCACCCTCACTCTGTCTTCAGCTTCAATATATCTGTCAGAGCAGTTGCATAGAAAAGCATTCAGATCTGACGAGATTTCGCTCGGGTGGTTTATCCGAGGCCTGGTCCCATGGCTTTGTGATGAGTCGTGGTTATACATTTCCAGCATTGGTATGATGCAATGAAGCTCATGTCCTTACCTCTTGGGGTAGTTGTAGTTCGGATAACGACTCTTCAATTTCTCAACGATATCTTGCTCTTTCACTGCGTGGGATGAGCACATGTATCTTCCTTCAGCTCCAGGTTTCTCGTACACCAAAAGTAAAGCTTGTGCCACATCACGCACGTCTACGACAAGACGTTCTTGATTCTCCCGCGTATCAAATCCCTCTGGTAGAAACAAATTGCAATAATGTACAATCACGAGCTAAATGAACAAGGCAAAATGACATATCATGATATCTATAAAAATCGTAGATTCTACTACAGAGCTTGTTTGTACCTTTCAGAAGCTTGACGAGAACTAGGGTACTGGCATTTACAGTGGGCTGCAGGATTGGCCCCAGGACAAGGGTAGGACAGATGCTGACAAGATCGAGTCCAGATCTCTTTGCAAACTCGAAAGCTTCACTCTCTGCCTGCGTCTTTGATAGACAGTACCAATTCTGCCGGAAGGGTGAGAGAAATGTCAAAAAGGGATCACAAGACAAAACTCAGGTGCTGTCTCTAGAGAGATGCAAGATCAACCAACCTCTGTCTTTCGGCAGTATTCTTGGTCAGACCAACATGTCTCATCCAGCACTTGATTCTTTGTCCACAGAGGGTTAAGGCTAACCGCAGCTACTGAGGACACATAAACGACACGCTTAATATTAGCTTCAACACATGCTCTAAGCACGTTCAGTGTCCCATTGACTGCAGGACCTATCACCTCCACCTACAAAACCGACAACAGGAGAGGGAGAAACAAACAAACAAACAGCCTCAATTTAAAAACAATGAGATTTTGCGTCCTTACCTCAGGATTGGGGACTTTGGTAGATGGAACAGGGCTCGCCACATGGAAGACACCGCTGCAACCTGTAATTGCGTGCCTAAGAGACTCGGCGTCCAGTAAATCGGCCTTGAAGAGGGCGAGCCTCTCGGGGGCTTTTTCAAGCTTCTTCAAATGAGCATTCTTCTCATTATCTGCAAAATCAGATAAGGAACCCTAGGAATTTTTTGGTTTTTTGCCGTGTACTAACGTAATCATATTTCAAACAACTCAAAAGTAGCAACTCATTAAAATGGATTTGCTCAAAGATGCAAACAGCGAATCAGGACATCAGTTCCAAGAATCTTGGTCCCCGTCACACCTATGATTTTAGCCCTCAAACGTCACTTCCTTGTCCTCAAACTGGAATCCGAATTCAAAATCTACCCAATTCCAATCACTCCAAACCCAGAACCAACGAAGAAAAAGTCGCATCTACATCGATTTCGATCAAACCCCTTTTCGGACATTAACATCCAACAGTTCTGGAAAAAATCCAGATTAGGTTACGATTCCATTCGATGAAAAGCTCATCAATGACGAGGACATACCTGGGTCTCGAACAGTGCCATGAACGCGGTAGCCCCTGGAGAGAAGAAGCTCGACGACCCACGAACCCAGAAACCCTCCCGCACCTGTCACGCAAACCCTCCCTTTCTCAACGAGCGCCATTTCTTGATCTTGGAATCACTTGGGCTTCCTTCCTCCACCGGTTCTATAAGAGGAGGAGGTTTCATCAAATAGGAAACTCTTTTGTTTGTTTGTCTTCTTTGCCCGAGGTTCCACGCGTGGGTAAACTTCAGGAATAATATTGTTTAGGTGCGGGTATAGCAAAATATAACCTTGCTATCCTTAAAAAGGAAAAACTGAAAAAGTTAAAGACATATATATTCCTGTATTTTAAGGGTTTGATGAAAACGGTCATACCTTTTCAATTAAAAAACGGCTAAATTTTTAAGAAATAAAAAAAAAACGAAAACAATCTCTCTCGGTAAACTCCTACTCTCCCACTCTCTCTTCTGTCGAACTCTCTCTCTTACATCATTTCGAAAACTCTCTCTCTCTCGCGCGATTTCGAGAACCGCTATTTTTCTCTCGGGATTTCGAAAAATTGTGGCGATTTTCCTTGCAATTTCGGTATCTCTCTTGCGATTTGTATGAAAAATCAAACACCCATGGATCCAAGAACACATGTGACTTCTGCTTCGTCTTCGTCTGCATCTCAGACCGGTTCATCTTCGTCATCGTCGGACAACGATCTCCCAGTAGAAACGGTAGGTTTTTCTGCATCTTCTTCTCCGTTTTTTGTTTTTTTCTTATGTGACCTGATCCTGGAGTAAAATCATTAAACTTATTAGATGGTTTGGGATTTCAAAATAGCAATTTAGGGTTTAGGGATTTCGAAATTAAAAATTAGAGTTTTGGGATTTCTAAATATAAAGTTAGGGTTTTTTATTTTGAAATATATAATTTGGGTTTTAGGAATTCGAAATAGAAAGTTAGGGTGTGGGTGTGGGATTTCGAAATATCTTGGCAAGTTTAATGATTTCCTAAGTCGTAAGGTCACGTGGATCACAGGTCACATGGATCATAGGGATTTATATGGTAACAGGATAATATAACTCACAAGGAGCACACGGGTCACGGGTCACATGGGTCACATGGGTCATGGGTCACATGTATCACGGGTCATAAATCCCAGGTCACAAAGATCACAATGACGAACAATTATTTTATTTTGCAGCTTCCATTTGTCTATAAATTCGAAGACATTCAGTCTTCTTCCAAGATCAATACGAAGTGTCATCCCTATGAGACGTTGAAGACGCTTAAAGAAGTATTAACACATGATGAATGGACGTACTTCGAGAAAGAATCACAGTTCCAACATCTATTCCACGCGCAATGGGAACCGTAGTTAAAGATGGCGCCTGCGGGAGTCCTCATTAACTGCTATGTTAAAGTTGAAGACGAGAAGGAGTTGTGGTTCGTGCTCAATGGTGTGCCCCTGAGATACTCGATCATTGAGCACGGACTTATATCTGGTTTGAAGTGTGGGGAATATCCAGAAGAATGAGAGAGCTTCAAGAAAAGTGAATTCAGGAAAAAGACTTTCGGACGTAAAAAGGTTTGTTTGAATGATGTGGTGAAGAAACTGAGGTATATGCCAACCCAGAGGGCAGCAGATCGTAAGAGATTGGCTACTCTATGCTTGATGGCCGGAATCTTGGATCATGCTCTGTCATCCGAACAAATTAGCCATGACCTGATCGACATGGTTGATGATATACGATTCTGTGAACGATTTCCGTGGGGTCGATACACTTTTGATCGAATAGTTGATCAAGTGCGAAAAAGTCTCGGTGTGAAACCAAAGACAAAATGGCATTGCCCGAGGTTTATAATCCCTCTGATGGTAAGTTATTTATTAAATTACGAGGGAATTATTTGAAAGTTGGATTGATTTGATTAGTTTTTTATTTTGCAGTTGCTGCCTTTTGAGTGCATTGAAAGCTTGGGTGTAAACGGGTGGTACACAGATGTTTCAGGTGCAGACCCAAGCTGTCCTAGAATGTGCAAGAGGTTAATCATACCCGGGTTTAGATGGACCTTCCCTGCTGTAATGGATAAGATTGGAATTGAATCACAGGTACGGGTCTCTGGTCACATGGGTCACGGGTCACATGGGTCACATGGGTCATGGGTTAGATGAGTCACATGGATCACACGGGTCAAAAGTGACATTTTTTTTTTCAGGGTATTAAAAGTATTCTACAAATGGAAAAGGATGAAGAAACACTTCTTTATGATCTGGAGGATTACAAGGGAAGTTGTGATCCAAAGATCACTATATGGATGCAACATTTGTAGTTGAATCCGCAAGGCATCTGTTAGGATAGCATCTGTGAGCTTGATGTAAGTTGTAGAGCTTCTTTGAAAAAAGAAAAAGCTAAGATAGTTGAAGAAGTTGATGATGAAGAAGTAGAAGAAGAACAAGAAGAAATTCAAGAAGAAGAAACTCAGGTTGAGGGTGAACCTCCAAAACTGCGAGAATCGGCAGTTTCAAGAGTGGATGCATTAGAGAAAAGTTCATTAAGCAGGAGATCAAAGCATCCCAGGCAAGGATCATTGATCACATGGGTCAAGCGATCCAAGCATCTGAGACGAGGTTAATTGCTTGTCTGAAAAATATTCTGCAACCTAGGAATGATGAAGTGTGGGGGGACACTGCAACTTCTAAAGACCTTGCTGGAGGAGCGGATGTTGTTATGGATGTCCCTCAAACTGGGAATGTTGATGTGGATCTCCCTGAAGCTGTTGAGAAAGGTGACAAGGCTGACAATGCTGATGTGGATCTCCCTCAAGATTATGACGAGGGTTCTAAGGGTGAGAATGCTGATGTGGATCTCCCTCAAACTTGTGACGAGGGTTCTAAGGATGAGAATGTTGATGTGGATCTCCCTCAAGCTTGTGAGGAGGGTTCTAAGGCTGGGAATGATGATTTCAATCTCCCAAAAGCTTTTGAAACCCCAATACAAGGCCAAGATGACATAGCCCCATCTAAAACCCCGAAGGAAGTCCCTCAAGTAGTTTACCACATAAGGTAACTATAGCTCTGAAACTTCACCACTCTGATTTCCTTTGAAAAGAAAACAAAGACAAGGGCCGACAAAAAGAAGTCCATATGTTGAACCAGAATCGATGAACCCCCTGCAAAGAATAAATGTTGCAAGACACTTGTCAGAGGTAGAGGAAGAACGGGAATGGGGAGAGGAAGAAGCAGAGGAAGTAGCGGAGGCAGGGGTACACAACAGCAGGAAGAACCAAAGAAATCGGAATCAGAAGGCGAAGAATCTGAGAAATCAGATAGAGGAGAAGAACCAAAGAAATCTGAGGTTGCATACTTTGTCTGACAACCTGAAGGAGTTAAGGGTGACAGCCTCATAAGGACGTCATCCTTTCTTTCATCGTCCACCGTAAAAGCGAACATTCTTTGGAAATTTATGAATATGCCCCGAGAGAAAAGGCTTTGGAAGTCTATTACGAATGCAACCAGAGATTCAGGGTTTTTTGAATCTATTTTGGAGGGCGAAAAATGGCTCACAGATGAGGTAAGACCCCATTAAATAGGTCACATGGGTCACGGTCACACGGATCACGGGTCACACGGGTCATGTCTAACATGTTTTTGTTTTCTTTGACAGCATATGGAAGAGGCACTGTGTGCGTTTCGGTGCAGCTTGCCAAAGTACTCCGTTAAATCAGTGATCTCCAGCTGTTGCATTTGTGATCTATACTTCTCGGAGACCATCATGCGGTGGGAAGAGAGTGGGGACCTGTCCAAGCTGGGTTGTCTTGAGAAATACTTCTCCGGAAAACATCTAGTTGGAGGTGTACGTAAGCCATTGCACAAGTATGATGTTCTTGTAACTGTTGTGAGCATCCCTTCACCCGCAGACCCCAAGATTCCCTATCATAGGGTTGCCATTAAAGTGGATATCAGGGACAAAGTCCTTAAAGTATACAACTGTCAACCGAGACTGCGGGAGAATGTGGATAAGGTTGTTCAAAAGTTAGCTCATCTCATACCGCATGCATACGTCCTTGCTAAGACGAAATTGTTCTCTAAAGGAGATTTGCTTGAGGTTCAGTACAAGATTGGGCTTCATGAAAATGCAACCGGTTCTGATTGCGGTTTTGCTGCAAAATACGTGGAGGGAATAATGTTGAACAAGAGAGCAGAATTCATGTCAATATACGATGGGACGATATCACTGATCCGTGAAAAATTGGCTATCGATATATTTGGTAATGATAAAAATGTGTACCACTGACCCGTTATTGTGAACTCTTTCGTAGTTTGTAAACTCTTTCGCATTTTGGATTTTACTTTTACTTGGAAATGAGAAAAAACATAGGTCACATGGATCACACGGGTCACATGAGTCACATGGGTCATGGGTCACATGAGTCACATGGATCACATGGGTCACGGGTCACATGGGTCACATTGCTCGAATTTATCGAATTAGTGACTTGGCATGGTTAAGCAGTGATTAATCATGGATTTTAACATCAATAACAACTTTAAAATCATGTTCGTTTCAATTTTCATATTCAAGTCACTCATGCAAATGTACTCCATAAGTGATACTAGTGTTTCATGACAACTTTAGAACAAATTGTACTAATGTTCAAACAACTCATACTTATGTTAACGAATTTAACTTGTAGATACCATATTGTCATTGTAAAACATCATATAAACCATCTTGAAGCTTTACAAATGAGATTTGACCGTGTTTTATAAGTGTCACTGAGTCACGGGTCACATGGGTCACACAGTGTAAAAATGTCTTCGGGTCACATGGGTCACATGAGAGTCACATGGGTCACACAGTTCAAAATTTGTTTCTATCTTTTCAAGACTTTAACACGGTACTAGTGCAAAGAAAATCACCTTATTCAAATAGATTGTACAAATGGAAAATGTATACAATCACATGGGTCACGAGAACTACATGAAATCATACAATCATATTATTTATGCAATATCTTTATTTGTCATTCTTTGAACGCTTTGTCTGCGGTTTGCCGGGGCCTGGAAACCGATTTTGTTTGGGTCTACCGGTTTTGCGTTTATCTTCCACAATCGGAGGTAATACCACGAGGTTTGCATCACGTGGGTCGTCAATGATCCAATCACAAACAATCAGGAACTGGATAAACAGTTTCTTGATAAGCCAACCACCATGTCTCCCGGAGAAAGTATGGAGAGCATAAGTCCGGTATAATATTGCCTC